ATATATATATATATATATATATATATATATATATATATTTGGTTGGATAGATGTGAGTTTGTGACCCTGGGTTTCACGCTTTAGCGATCGTCAGTTGTTAGCTCTATCTCTGATACTGAGCGCTTTCTAATAAGTACTGCGCATATAATATATAAATAATTATACATACTTATATTTATTTATATTTATATACACTTTTCACACACACACACATATATATATATATATATATATATATATATATATATATATATATATATATATATATATAGAGAGAGAGAGAGAGAGAGAGAGAGAGGTCGGGTCAGGGTACTGGCAATCGCCCCAGACCTCATTAAGGCTGAGGCCGCCATCATGCTGCCATGTCATTTGTTTGGAACCATCCAAAACCAGTGCTTATAAAAACATACTTCCGGTTATCCATAACCCAAGACAGTTTAAATTCTTTGGCTATTTTGTCTATAGAAAATTATCTTTTCAAGAAGATAGTTGTAGAAATTGCCATGAAAAGATTTACACATCTAAAGGCTAGAAAAAAATGTTTTAGGTCGGAGAATGAATGTTTTCTTCAGCCGGTATTCCGTTGGATATTGTAACTCGTTATTCTACATTTTCAGTTTTTTTCTCTCTGAGAAAATTTTTAAAAATTAACTTTTAAGGGCGCCAAAGTTCAGCTTGCCTGTGGTGCCCATAGGCAAGGTGAACTTTGACGCCCTAAGTCCGTATAAATTTTTTTGAAATTTTAAAGGAGAAACAATGAAAATTTAGAATAACGATTTTATTTTTACTGGTTACACTTTGTATGTCCACTATAATAACGTTTGAAATAATAAAAATTATTAAAACTAATATATATATATATATATATATATATATAAGGGGAGAGAAAGAGAGAAGGGGATACAAACAGAGAGAGAGAGAGAGAGAAGGGGATACAAACAGAGACAGAGAGAGATTTAATAGCTTTATATATATATATATATATATATATATATATATATATATATATATATATATAATTATTTATTTAAAAATATGATTCCAAATCGCGACATAAGAAGTCCCATGTTTCAAAACAAGAGCCGAAAACTTCAATATAATTATTTAAATTAAATTGAGTTAAAATAATCTCTGTTCCGTCTTCAAGCGAAATTTTTTTTGGAATATATATAGGGAGAGAGTGGGAGTAGACAGAGAAAGAGAGAGATTTAATGGCTTTATTTTAATCATTTTCATTATTTCAAGTGTAGCCAGTAAAAATAACGTTCGATGTAATAAAAATGTTAAATTGAAAATAAGTTCTGAGTAGATTTGGGCTTTTGAGAAAAATAAGCTAAAAGATAAAATGAGCTTCCCTTAAAATAGAACCTTGGCCGGCTATTCAGTCTCCGTGGCTTTTTATTTCATCCACTAAAATAATGTTTAAAGTTTAAAAATATATATATATATATATATATATATATATATATATATATATATTTATATATATATATATATATATATATATATATATATATATATATATATATATATATATATATATATATATATATATATATATATATATATATATATATATATTATTTAAAAAGACCTATATAATTTATATATCTATAATTTAAAAAACAAGGATCAATTCATCGTGTGATTAGTGGGTTAATGCATCCTTAAAATTTGTTAGCGAAGGGATTTCACCATTTTATATCATTAACTTTACTAATTTACTTTTGTATAAATGATCCAGTGTTATATATATATATATATATATATATATATATATATATATATATATATTTTTTTCTCTCTCTCTCTATATATATATATATATATATATATATATATATATATATATAGAGAGAGAGAGAAAGAGAAAAAATAGAAAGATAAATAGATAGATAGATAGATGGCTGCAAATTATGTATACAGAAATAGAGAAAAATGGCACCCAAAAACTTAAGAAAGAAGATACAGGAAAATCTCGTTAAAAGTAAAAGAAAAGAGCTGGACTGCTACGTGATATCCATCCTTCTATATGACAGTGAATGTTGGACGATTTCCTCATAAATAAAGAAGTGTATTAAAGATATTATCAGAGGAATGCTGAGAATACCATGAACAGAACATGTAAGAAACTTGGAAGATGTCATGGAAATGGAAATGGAAACAGAAATGACGCTTGAGCTTAAGACCAGAAATAAATTTCTAGAACACATAATGAAGAAAGTGGGCTCGGAGAATTTGACACTCACAAGGCAAAGCGGTCAGAAGGAAACAATTAGTTATCTACCAAACGCCCTTGTGTATCTGGATGGCAGAATATGAATGAGGCGGGTGGAATACTAAAGAGATGAATACTGATTTGAGCTACGAAGTTTAAGAAGTTGTGGAGGGCCACGATCGATCAAGTCCTGTATGGATATGGCAAGAAGTAGAAGAAGAAGAAGCAAAATAATACTCTTTCTGTTAGGCTTTTCGGGAATTATCCAAGTGTTCCAGTAATTATAGGTATAACTGATATTTTGCTCTGCCATAAAATCTCTTCTAAGATCCAGATCTCTAGCTGGCATTTCACAGCTATTCATTTTCTAATGTATTCAAATGAAAATGCGAAAGTTGCTGTCTTCTGAAAGATCTTTTATGATGCTAAAAATTTTACATCCATCCAATTCTCTTTATTAGACTGCCATGTTTTTTGTATCTGTAGTTGAATTTATTTTATAAATTCTGCTTTTCTGATCACAAATACAAGTGTTATTAACTTTATTAGCCAAGAGGATTGATTTCTCTCGCCATGAAATGCGTTTCTGTTTGTTTTTGCGGATTATGAAGAATCGAGGTTCTATGGAATGTTTGAAGAAAACTATTACAATTCTAAAGGAATTTTTATTTAGTCAATTACGAGAGGCGAATGGTTTTAGGAATCAGGCCTCCCTACTGGGCGAAATCTCGTCTGTTGACACAAGGGAAACGGCTCTAATGAATACAAGCAACGTCAGTTGGTTTGTCGTTTGTATTTACATAAGAAATAATAGCTAACAAAATTGCGAGACCAAATCCGATAGGAAAATAATAGCCGCGTCGCGGACTTTTTGCCCAATATTACACACACACACACACACACACTCACACACACAGTCACACACACACACACATACACAAAGACCCACACAATAATATATATATATTAGTATTATATATATATATATGTGTGTGTGTGTGTGTGTGTGTGTGTGTAAATATAAATAAATATATATATATATATAATTATTTATATATTATATGCGCGGTACTTATTATAGAAAGCGCTCAATATCAGAGATAGAGTTAACATATTTGGTTGGATAGATGTGAGTTTGTGACCTGGGTTTCACGCTTTTGCGATCGTCGGACAAGCGTGAAACCCAGGGTCACAAACTCACATTTATCCAACCAAATATATATATATATATATATATATATATATATATATATATATATATATGTGTGTGTATATATGTATGCATGTATGTGTGTGTGTGTGTGTGTGTCGGATGTCAATCACGTGTCAAAGATCACATGGATATACCGACGAACAGAGTGAAATTATAAAATTATATATATGAAGAAATATAGTCTTAAGTTGTGCTATATTTATGGGATAAAGTGCTCAATATCGGAGATAGAGCGTGTGTAAATATGAAGGTGAACATTGAAGTCAACACTTAGAGGCGACAGGCTGTTTCATGCTAGACGCAGTCGTCAGGCCACGAGTGTTGTTTTTTTCTCGACTATTTATATATACGGGTCAGTGGTGCATTGTGGATAGTCTATTTTGGCGGTTATTTTGCCGGAAGTCGCTTATTTATTTATTTATTTATTTGGGTTAAATTATTTTGCTTGTTTTTATTTATTATTTTTTATTTTTATTTTTTATTTTTATTTCTTATCTTATATATATATATATATTTATTTATTTTTATTTTAATCGGTATTTTATTAACGTAGTAAAAAAAATTTATATCGCTTATTTAATAGTTTTGTTTTGGTTTGAGAAGATAATTAAAACTATTTATTCACATTTGGGGTTGATTGCTGTAGTTTATTCTAACTATTATTTTGGCGGGAGCAGTTTTTAATTTGTTTATTACTTCATTTATTTATTTGGATTGATTATCTTGTTTTTTTTCTAACGGTTAATTTATCGGGATCTGTTTATTAGTTTATTTATTTATTTGGATTAATTTAGATTAATTTATTTTACTTGTTTATTATTATTTATTTATTATACTGTATATTTTTATTTACTCTTTTCGGTTTTTGATTTTTAAGTAACGTAGTATTTTTTATCGTTATATAACAGTTATAGCTATGTTTTTCGTCCGATTTTTGGTTTGATTTTTGGCTTTATTTGTTTGGGTTCATTGATTTTGTTTTTTATTTTTTATTTATTTATTCTGTTTTGTCTATTCTAAGGGTCTGATTTGGTAATTTGTTTGGGTTAATTTATTTTACTTATTTTATTGTCATTTTGTTTATTTATTTATTTTATTTTTATTTTTATTTTTTTCAGTTTTCGATTTTTAAGTAACGTAGGAAAAATATGTTTTCATGTCTGCATTTTGAGATAAGTTCGGATCGTTTATTTAATAATTTATTTTGGTCTGGGAAGGTAAGGTAAGGAAGGTAATGAGAGCTATTTTTTGCTCCAAGCAAAGTTTGCAAGTTTTGGATATGTTGTTGTAGGCTGATGATCTTTTCTTTATTTTCCAAGATATTATGAACCACTGACCTGTATATATAAATAGCCGAGAAAAAAAAATCAGCACCGTGGCCTGACGATTGCGTCTAGCATAAAACGGCCGGTCGCCTCTAAGTGTTGACTTCAATGTTCACTTTTAAAATTCTCTCTCTCTCTCTCTCTTTCTCTCTCTCTCTCTCTATATATATATATATATATATATATATATGTGTGTGTGTGTGTGTGTGTGTGTGTGTGTGTGTGTGTGTGTGTGTGTGTGAACAGAGTGAGATAGATAGATAAATAGATAGATAAATATGAATAGACTGAGATAGATAGATAGATAGATAGATATGAATAGACTGAGATAGATAGATAGATAGATGATAGATAGATAGATAGATAGATAGATAGATATGAATAGATCGAGATAGATAGATAGATAGATAGATAGATAAATAGATAGATAGATATGAATAGATTGAGAGATAGATAGATAGATAGATAGATAGATAGATAGATAGATAGATAGATAGATAGATAGATAGATAACCTGACAAATTATAAGCAAATCTCCCAACGAACGTATTGTGTAAAAAAAGAAAAAAATCTTTCAAATACATTATGAGGTGACGTGTATCGTAAAAGTAACAAAATCCTTACAAACTATAAACAGAAATATACAACCTGGCCGCAAAATTAACAAGTAATATTTTCATTTTATCCCAATATACAAGTGTTTGGGGGTGAGAGCGTCTTTCTACTTTGGTGATAAGATGTGAAGCAAGCATTAATTAACAATCCGTTTAAAATCCTTCTACGTTTTTGTTTCTTTATTTCATAGTCGTAAACAGACACAGAAAGGAAACTACAAAAGCTCCGATAGAAAGTTCTGGAGGAAAGTGCGGAGAAATGACTAAACATGAATTGCAAACAGAATGCATGGTCGTTAGCAAAAGGAACGGCCCAACATGCAAATTATAAAGAGGAGATAACAAAATCAAACAAGTACAACAATATATCTATCATTTAATGAAGACGGTAAGTGTTACACTGAAATCCGAAGGCGCATTGCCATAGCGAAAGATGCCTTCCAAAAACTAAGCAAAGTATTATGAAACAAAAAAAAATTCGTTTGAAACAAAGAAAAGCGTACTGAACTGCTATGTAGTATCAGTATTCATTTATATTGCAGTGAATGCTGGACAATCTCGTCACAGATGATGAAGAGACTTGAAGCATTAGAAATGGGGTTCTACAGAAAGATACTGACAAGAACGGAACATGTGAAGCACCTCGACTTTGTGTAATGGTTAACAAGCTTGTCTCGCTAGGTCAATTAAGTGAGTTCGATCATCACTGGGTGCACCATACTTTCAACCTTGTGCCACGTATAAGCTACGCTTAGAAAATTATTTGGGCACTTCGACGTGGTTTAATGGTTAGCAAGCTTGTCTCACTGGATCAGTTACGACTGAATAGTGAATTCGATCCTCACTTGGTACCCTGCACTTGTGCCACATCTAAGTTACGTTTAGAAAATCACCATTTGAGGCACTCCCCTCGGATACTTCCGGAGAGATTGACAGAGAAGGAGAAGGGTGTTTTTTACCCGTCGGAGTAGATGCTGCGGTTGTAGTATCTGTTCAGTGCCGAAGGCCTTCTCTCCTCCCTTGCGTTCCCCACCCCTCGTTCCGTAATATCTGTTACATAGCGGTGGTATGACCGGCTATGACTAACTTAGACAAGCTTTGACCAGCTCAGACAAGCTAAGACCAGCTCAGACCAGCGGCCTGAGTGGAAAGACTGATTGTAGTATCTGTTCCATGCCGAAGGCCTTCTCTCCTCCCTTGCGTTCCCGACCACTCATTCCGTAAATTCTGTTACATAGCGGTGGTATCACCGGCTATGACTAACTTAGACAAGCTCTGACCAGCTCAGACAAGCTAAGACCAGCTTAGACCAGCGGCCCGAGTGGAAAGACGCGTGTTCCCACGTTAGAAACCTACATTGTGTCACAACCTGCCTCAGAGGTGGGGGATTAAAGTAAATCTTGAACTGAACATGTGAGCAACGTGGAAGTTTTAGAGAAAATGGAAACAAAAACGGTACTTATAGTTCACACCAGGAAGGCAGTTGAAATTTCTAGGGTCACATAATGAGGAAAGTGAGCTTGGAAAACTTAATACTCACGGGACAAATTGAAGGCAAGGGGTGCAGAGGAAAACAGCACATTACCTAAACTATCGAGCATGAGTAAATGGACGCCGGAGCAAGGTTTAGGAGAGATAATAAAAATACAACATTTATTAAGAGCTGAAAAAGATAGGAAATTGTGGAGAGCAGTGATCGCCAAAGCACTGAAAGTACATGGCACATAGTAGAAGAAGAATCAAATTTTAATTCTTAAAGAAACTGCTGTTGTTGATTTTTCTTATATCGTTATCAGAAATTTACCTTTTTAAAAAATTAACGCTGAAAAATTAAAGCTGAGTATGTGAATAGACAAACATATAAGACTACGTGTCAATAAACACACACACACACACACACACACACACACACACACACACACAGAGAAAGACATACACACACATAGATAGATACAAAGAGAAAGGGACAGAAAGACAGAGAGAGACAAAAATATTTCATTTTATAACGTTTTTTAAAGAAAACTAATGTAACACCAAAATTTCACGGTAGTATATATATATATATATATATATATATATATATATATATATATATATATATATATATATATATATATATATATATATGTGTATATATATATATATGTATATATATATATATATATATATATGTGTGTGTGTGTGTGCGTGTGTGCATGCATACTTTATGTATGTGGGTGTATGTGTGTGTATGCTTATATACGTGTGTATACATGTTTTATACATATATATATGTGTGTGTGTGCGTATATATATATATATATATATGTGTGTGTGTGTGTGTATGCATATATATATGTATGTGTGTGTAGGCATGTTTTATACATATATGTCTGTGTGTGCGTATATATATATATATATATATACTCGAATAAGAAAAATAATAGATGGAGTAAAAATCCACAGTTTGTAGCATTTAATTATTTTGAGAAAGTGCTCAATACAAAGTAGACCAAAATATTATTATTATTATTATTATTATTATTATTATAGATTATAATAAAAAAAAAACATGGTACATCGACTGAGGAAGTACGATAATAGTATTGAAACATGAAGGCTTATGTGCAACGATGTAAAATGTTTTTATTATAATCTATTATAATAATAATAACATTAATACATATGTATATGGATATATATATATAAACTTTTATATACATATATATATATATATATATATATATATAGATAGATAGATAGATAGATAGATAGATAGATAGATAGATAGATTATCAATATATTATATGATCAATTCTGGCGGAAATATAGTGTCTTGGCAACTTAACAATGGGAAACCCGAAGTCCAGTAAAGATTTATAATAGCCTATGAATGTCCATTGTTTAATTTTTGGGTGATAATCCCGAACCTATAATTAATACCAGATCTTTTTATAAGCCTATAATTAATAGCAGATCTTTTTATAAGCCTATAATTAATAGCAGATCTTTTTATAAACCTATAATTAATACCTGATCTTTTTATAAACCTATAATTAATGCCAGATATATTTATAAACATATAATCAATACCAGTTCTTTTTCTAAGCCTATAATTAATAGTAGATCTTTTTATAAACCTATAATTAATACCTGCTCTTTTTATAAACCTATACTTAATACTAGATCTTTTTATAAATGTATAATTAATGCCGAACATTTTCATAAACTTTCTGAATTTAAAGAAAAACAACATACGATTAATACCGAATATTTATTTCGCCACTTTTAAATTCGACAATATATATAATGCAAGGCTGTATTTGTGCAATTTTAGAAGACTACATACATTATATTTGTTGTAATAATAAATAATAATCCTAAAATGTTAATTATTCTATATTAACAACTGCAATCTTCCCATGGTCAATTTTCTAGAGCCGGCTTTTATATGGGTTCGTCTAAAATATATAATCGTATAAGTCAAAAGTGCGTTAATTTTTATGATTCATTATTATTTTTATTTTATTTTATGGGCGTCAATGAGCAAAGCTTAGTTCTCCCGGCAATGAATTATAATTTCTAATACTGTTTTTTTTTTCATTTAATATGTGTTTTCATTGCTCTTTCACGGAGTCTATTTTTTCAAATTCCAGTTTCATAAACATATTAAAATAGTTCACAATTGTACAAAAAAAAAAAAGAAAAGAAAAGAAAAAGACATTGCCACGTGGTGATCCCAGTATAAGAGAGATAACTCTATTTATTTGTTTTAATTTACTATATAAAATGAAAAGAGTTTCCTATTACTAACTGCTGATGTAACCTATTCTATAACGATGAAGTTTTTATTGTATGGCGATGATAAACTTTCATTATATTCTCTCGGAATAAGCTAAGAAAAAAAATGTACTGTCGTAATATGGCGACAATAGCTTCGAATCTCATTGACGAAGCTAATTTTACGTTTTTTTTATTATTTCCCACTCCGTGATATTAACGCTATTCCATACCTTCTTAGATTTGGTTAAATTCTCATTTAACAAATAACTATGGCAGAGGAATAAAAACAGATCATTAACGAACGTATTTTGACATTTAATCAATTTATTATTATTTATCCATCAAATATCAGAAAAATAAGTTTTCTGTAAACAGAAATTATCTACGATGTAAGTATCAATGGCATGCGTAAAAGGTATAATAATAATAATAATAATAATAATAATAATAATAATAATAATAATTTTTTTTTTTTTTAATTGGTCAGTACAGCCCACATCTTAACAATGGTTTTATCTATGTAAAATAATTTTTTTTTTTAATTGGTCAGTGGAAAAATCAAAATGACAATTGATTTCTATCCTTAGGTCTCTGGGCGGACCCGGAAAGAAATACAGTGTACAAAAAATACCTTCCTGTCGGGCTTTCATCGCAAAATAAAAAAAATAACAAAAAAAAATAATAATACACACACACACACAATAATATATATATATATATATATATATATATATATATATATATATATATATATATATTTAAATAAAACAGACCACTTTAAGGTTCCATGTAATAAATTATTTCATCACAGCCCTTTAAAGGACTGCGGATCATCAGACTTTACTTAAAAGGTTGAAACAAAAAAATGAAAAGAAAATTTACATTTTTGACGGGCCGTATTAAACATATGTAAATTAACGAAGTGAGTAAGTGAGGGGGAGAGAGAAGACATGAGTAGAGTTAGATGTAATTTAAAATTTCTATTCTTTTATACTCAAAGTGTGTGTATATATATATATATATATATATATATATATATATATATATATATATATATATATATATATATATGTGTGTGTGTGTGTGTGTGTATTTAGTAGCAATCTCTTTCATACAAGTTTCGTTAAATTTTTCTTGTGTTCATACACGTGTTTACTTTTCTGGACACAAAGTGTGTAAAAACGGTTCAAAATTTCGTAGCCCTTTCGGCTATACTTTTAAATGATTGCATGTGTTGCTTTATGTATGTATATAGAGTTATATTTTATAGGGATAGTTTATTTTTCAAACACGGTCAGCACATTGTGGCCGTGTTCATAGTTAATCTTATTGAGTGTTGCCTTTTTTTTTCTTTTTATTATTAATGCTTCCATTATTTTTAATCTTGGCGGAAGTTATTATGTTTGCATTTTCTACTAGTACGTTTCGGATAGAATCTGGTAGGTTTTAGAGTGCTTCCGTCTTAAAAATATGCACTACATAAAAAAAATTAAACTGTAATGTCTGCTCTAATACGTTTACCTACAAAGCGTAAGAGTAATAGCAATAAGAAACTTTATCGGTTTAGCCTTGTTCCAGACTTAGCGGAGCTTAGGAAACATTCACACACACGTATAGCTTCTCTCAAACAGGCTCATCTAACAAAGCGCGCAAACACAGACATTCTTTCACACACTCAAGTAGACACTTACTCAAATATACACATTTTAAAAACACACATTCAAAAGCACAAATACAAACACTGTAAATCATACACATTTAAACACAAACACACTCACACACACCTTCTGAAACATACTTACACTGAAATTGACATACTTAAATACAAGCACTCGAACACATATATTTAAACACATGCTAAATATACACATACGCATTCATATACACTCACATGCATACACTCACCCATCTTTATACACACACTCAAAATCATACATACATACTAACATATTAGCCACAGACTAAAATTCATACGCATTTAAGCAAGCGCACACTCACAAACACAAATACACACAACACGCAATAAATTCCGCGTTGTATTAACAGTTTATCAAACATTTATTTTTGAGAATCTTCAACAGATTTTTTTTTATCATTTCAGGCAAGGCAAGGCAATAAAGCCACTAAGACACAAGGGGGTTACTGAGGGCTGGAGAATATGAGATAAAAGAGAGAAGACAATAAAAAATAACAAGAATTAAGAAGATAAAAGAGAACGATTAACACTGCATTTAAATTTTTGACGATCAAAGTTCACTGGTAAGCAAGAAGCCGGAAGAGAGTTCCACAAGCAAGAAGTGCGGTAGAAGAAACTCTTAGCATAGAACCTGCGGTGATATCTAGCAATTTCAATTGTGAAATGATAAGATCTTGACGCCAATATTAATTAAATTGTTATTTCAATTTTTATTCTTATTTATAAAATTATTTAATTGAATTTCTACGAAGAAAAATCGAAACATATTAAAAAAAAGTTTTTTAGTGATTTGTAGTATATCGAATTGTGATTAATCACTTTTTTACAGCTAAACTCTTTAATCTGAAGTCATTGTACAGATAATGGCATTTATTATTTATTAATTTTAAAAATTTAATAAGCCAGTTTTTTTTAATCTCGGAAATTAAATTAAAAAATACTTCCACGTTTACTGTTTTATTTATTTATTTATTTATTTATTTTCTTTGTTAATCATTTAACCCCAAGCAAGGTAATAAAGCCACTAGGACGCGTGAGGGTTGCAGGGAGTGAAAGAGAATGAGAAGACTTTAGTGAGAAGTAAAACAAAGGATAATAAAGTGTCAGGATTCAGGAAGACAGAATATGGCGATTGACGTTGCATTTAAGTTTTTGAAGATTGTAGATAGCAGGGGAAAAAATTGGGACAGAGTTCCACAGGCGAAAACTGCGAGAAACAAAACCATTAGAATAGAATTGACGGTTGCATTTTGCTAGTCCAACAGTAAAATAGTGAGACCTAATTGCCAATCCAGTAGCACATTTAAATCCATGCAGTAAAGAGAACGGCTCATCAGACCAATTGCCATGAAAATATTTGTAGAAAAGAGAGAGGGCAGCCATATCACGACGGTGAGAAAGTGACAGTAGTCGAGCTGTCAAATCAGGTTCGATTAAATTTCAGATCTTTGGATTTTGTCAAGAACCTCGAGATAAATGGTAGGAGCACCGGGCCAGATATGGCGGCCGTATTCACTGCACAAACGGATGATAGATTTATAAATGTTTACTTTTAAAGGTTATTAATTGTTTGTCCACTTCAATTAAATTTAATTTCAAGTATTTAGCAGTAATTTAAAAAGAGCAATGTACGATAAAGTTTATTCACTCTCGCGTTTTTCCTTGACTTTTATTTGCAGTCAAGTGAACCATTGAAGGTTGTTTTTGTAATCACTGACAGAATTGACGGAATGCGATAAAAAAAAACAGGTTCTTGTTATGGTCAAGACACACTGGAAGAACAGATTCCCGCCAAAACATTAGGGTTAAGCGCAGATTATCTATTTCAGTACTTAAATGACGACAATAAAATGGGTTTTATGTTTATTGACAATATTCTGCAAGGCTTATTCTGGATTTACTTTTGTTGTCTATAAAGCGTGATTTTTGATAATTGTAGATTTTACAAAAGCCTGCTTGATTCTTTTTCAGCCTGTTCTGTTGGTAAATTGTGTAAGTGAAGAAGAACAAAGAGAAACACAAGAAAAGAAGAAGAACAAATTGAAGAAAGGAAAGAGAAAAAAGAGATTTAAAGAACAAGAAGGAAGAGGTGAAATGAAGAAGAGATGAAGAGAATACAGAAGAAGAAGAAAGAAAGAAAGAAAGAAAGAAAGAAAGAAAGAAAGAGATGAGGCAGGGAGCAAATGAAGAAGAAATAAGAAGAAAAACCTTAGAGACAAAATGGAAAAAGATAAGTATTTCACAACTGCGGAAGAAAAAGATTAAGATGAAGAAAGAGGGGATAATAAAAAAAAAGAAAGAAGAGAAAAAGAAAAAAATGAAGGAATGGTGGGAATGTAGAACAAAAGAAAAGAAGAAGAAGGAAAAAATGAAGAGGAAAATAGAAGAAGAAGAAGAAGAAGAAGAAAAGAAGAAGCAAAGGAAGAAGAAGAAGAAGAAAATAAAGGAAGAAGAAGAAGAAGAAGAAGAAGAAGAAGAAGAAGAAGAAGAAGAAGAAGAAGAAGAAGAAGAAGAAGAAGAAGAAGAAGAAGAAGAAGAAGAAGAAGAAGAAGAAGAAGAAGAAGAAGAAGAAGAAGAAGAAGAAGAAGAAGAAGAAGAAGAAGAAGAAGAAGAAGAAGAAGAAGAAGAAGAAGAAGAAGAAGAAAGAAGAAGAAGAAGAAGAAGAAGAAGAAGAAGAAGAAGAAGAAGAAGAAGAAGAAGAAGAAGAAGAAGAAGAAGAAGAAGAAGAAGAAGAAGAAGAAGAAGAAGAAGAAGAAGAAGAAGAAGAAGAAGAAGAAGAAGAAGAAGAAGAAGAAGAAGAAGAAGAAGAAGAAGAAGAAGAAGAAGAAGAAGAAGAAGAAGAAGAAGAAGAAGAAGAAGAAGAAGAAGAAGAAGAAGAAGAAGAAGAAGAAGAAGAAGAAGAAGAAGAAGAAGAAGAAGAAGAAGAAGAAGAAGAAGAAGAAGAAGAAGAAGAAGAAGAAGAAGAAGAAGAAGAAGAAGAAGAAGAAGAAGAAGAAGAAGAAGAAGAAGAAGAAGAAGAAGAAGAAGAAGAAGAAGAAGAAGAAGAAGAAGAAGAAGAAGAAGAAGAAGAAGAAGAAGAAGAAGAAGAAGAAGAAGAAGAAGAAGAAGAAGAAGAAGAAGAAGAAGAAGAAGAAGAAGAAGAAGAAGAAGAAGAAGAAGAAGAAGAAGAAGAAGAAGAAGAAGAAGAAGAAGAAGAAGAAGAAGAAGAAGAAGAAGAAGAAGAAGAAGAAGAAGAAGAAGAAGAAGAAGAAGAAGAAGAAGAAGAAGAAGAAGAAGAAGAAGAAGAAGAAGAAGAAGAAGAAGAAGAAGAAGAAGAAGAAGAAGAAGAAGAAGAAGAAGAAGAAGAAGAAGAAGAAGAAGAAGAAGAAGAAGAAGAAGAAGAAGAAGAAGAAGAAGAAGAAGAAGAAGAAGAAGAAGAAGAAGAAGAAGAAGAAGAAGAAGAAGAAGAAGAAGAAGAAGAAGAAGAAGAAGAAGAAGAAGAAGAAGAAGAAGAAGAAGAAGAAGAAGAAGAAGAAGAAGAAGAAGAAGAAGAAGAAGAAGAAGAAGAAGAAGAAGAAGAAGAAGAAGAAGAAGAAGAAGAAGAAGAAGAAGAAGAAGAAGAAGAAGAAGAAGAAGAAGAAGAAGAAGAAGAAGAAGAAGAAGAAGAAGAAGAAGAAGAAGAAGAAGAAGAAGAAGAAGAAGAAGAAGAAGAAGCGCGGAAAATTGATTATAATTTAATTTTCATTACCGGCTTCAAGTTCTTGCTGTGAATTTTATTCTAGAAAGTCCACAGAAAATTATCTCCTTGTTTAAAACATCTTTTTCCCCTCACACACGGTTGGTGTCTTTTTTTTTCTCTCATATTCTCTTCCTCACAATTATTATCCTATCTCGAGTTAATCATCTTAATAATTATCGTTCTTATTCGGATTGGCTTAGCAGAAAATAAGCACCTGGCATATTTCAATACAGACCAAGTGACAGCAAATCACGTCAACACTCCTAAATTATTATTATTATTATTATTATTATTATTATTATTATTATTTCCTTTGGTATCTTTCGTATAAACATTTCTTTCCGGGTCCCAACCAGAGACCTAAGGTCAGAAATGGCTTCATGATATTTTCCACTGATTATTTTTGTAAATAAACAAAAAGTTAAAAATAAGATCACACATATTTTACAAAGATAATCGTTATGTGTGAACTGTACTTGTGAGTACAATTTATTTTTATTTTTATTATCGTTCTTGTTGTTATTCCTATTATTATTATTATTATTATTATTATTAGTAGTAGTAGTAGTAGTAGTAGTAGTAGTAGTAGTAGTCTGATGACGGTAAAATGGCTCAAATTTAAAATCCAAATTGTTTGCTCATTTAAAATATTAAATTATATTTTTTAAATTCAATGACAGACCTAAAAATATTTCTTCGAAATTAAAATAAGATTAAAAAATAATTATACTCATTTACTGTACAATTTCCGAAAATTAAAATAAAATTTTCAAGAGATAAAAATTCTTTTCTTGAATCGGATGCAAACTGACAAGGTGCTTTGCAATCAATGAGAAAAAAAAAACACCTTTGTAATTGTGGTCACTGCGTGGAGAGAAATCTTGGCAAGAGATGTAAAATAGGCATGTGTATAATTTTTGCAATTCACATATTTTAGGGTTATCAGTAATTTGATCCATCTATTTTTTTTTTTAACTTTTTAATATTCCCCAAACCCCAATAACAAAATGAAAACGAAAAAAATGCAGTATCCATCAACTGCAAGAAGACAGAAATTATGGTTGCCAGGAAGAGAAATGTCCAATCTACGAATTCAACATCAAGAAAGTACAGAAGACTAAATATCTGGGAAGTCTTTTTACAGGGGATGAAAAAACATGACACCGAAACCCAAACGCGCATTTGACTAGCTAAAGATGCTTTCCCAAAGGTAAACAAAGTAATAAGAGACAGAGAAATTTTGTTAGAAACAAAGAAAAGTGCTTAAATGCTAAGTGATATTAATCCGCTTGCACGGAAATGAATGCTGGACAATCTCACTACACATGAAGAGAAACCTTGAGGAAACAGAAATCTGGTTCTACAGAAGGATACTAAGAATTTATGGACGGAACAAGTAAACAATGAGGAGGTTTTAAATAAAAGGGCAACTAAAAGAAGTTATAATTAAACTAATAATCCTGATTTCTAACACGAGGCCATTACTCAGCTTCTCAAACCTTTTTTTTTAAAATGAGTTATTATTATTTACCAGCTTTTATTGAGATCTAGTGAAAGTATTAGCTTTCTTTGAAGATCAAGTGACAACAAGTTTACTCGATATTTCTCTTCTAGATTTTAGTAATGTTGAGTTTGCCGAAAGAGTGACTGACGGTGTCCCCTAGAAATCTAAAGACATGTTTCCTGAACATTAACGACTCAAAACCTAGCGTAAGATTATTTAAAAAATATAGACATTATGTTATTAAATGATACATATCATGTACTGTGCTTGTATTTTCATTACATTTATTATTATTGTTTATTATTTTTCTCATTATTTCTTTTGATTTTTGTTGCATACACATTTCCTTCCGGGTCCCAACCAGAGACCTAAGGTCAGAAATGCCATCATCTTTTCCTCTGAACATCTTTTCCTCTGAGATCACATACATTTTACATAAATAAAGCTCTAGGTAATGTGTGAGCTTTACTTGCGAGTACAAATTTTTCTTCAAGGCATGTGGTACCAGGTATCCCTTCCATGAGTATATCGGAACCTTTTCCAATCAAACCCAGGACACATTTTTAAAATTTATTATTATTATTATTATTATTATTATTTTCTTTGATTTCTGGCGTTTACACATTTCTTTCGGAAGATTAGAAATGGCGTCATGACACTTTCCACTGACAAAAAAAAAAAAAAAAAAAAAAAAAGAATTAAATTACATAGATAAAAGCCCTTCGTAAGGTGTAGGCTGTACTTGTCAGAACAATTTTGTATCTCCTTGAGGCATGGACTTTGGAATCCCTTCAATTAGTCTACTGCAATCTTTTCCAACCAGTCCTGGGGCTCCAACTTCTGGATTGTTGATGTTTCCCATATGCCACATTTTCGAGATTTCTATTTCAAGGTCCTTGTACTTTGACAACTTTTTGAATATCTTCAAAGATACATTGCAGTCAGCAGGGACTGCCATATCAATAATTATTATTATTATTATTTAATATTGCAATGTTGATTACATTAATGCAACATTGATTGGATAGAATTAAACTAAATACCCATTATTTGATTTTTATTATTTATCTAAAGTATTTCCTTATTTTGAATATATAAAGCTGAACGTTTATATGTAATTAATGATCATATACATCATATATAAAGTTGGCTATGTCTGTCTGCTAATATTACATAAAACATCAAATAAACGTAGTTTTATGTATATATACATAGCTTGTATCTTGCCCAAATTCTTTAAAAGTTCTTGCCTAATGGGGTGAACATATTTGCGTATTCAACCTTAAAATTAAATTTAAAAAAAAAACTGTTTTTTTTTTTATAATTAAGCTACTCAGTTATTCAAATACATCCATTTTCTGCCTTGAAAAGTGTAACCCCTACAGTATTTAGATCACAGATAAACAGAATTGAGCAATGTAAAAATGAAGTAATGTTTACATTATAATTATCTATATTAAAAATATAGCAAATCTAATTTTTTATTTGTAAAATATTTATTGTTTTACGTTTGTTCTTAAAAAAAAAAATTAAAAATGGTATGTTTTGTTTAATAAAGAATATATTTGTTAATCTTTATTGAGTTTATTACAGGAAAAATATCTTTAATGACGAATACGAAATTATTAAATTACTTTGCTATCAGGTTTACCATTAACCATGAACAATTACGTCAAGGCGCTCAGATTCCGTATACGAAGTAAACAAATTTTAAAACTTATTTCACTGTTTTAATTACAATTTCGCTAATAGCTTTTTGTGGCATACGTAAAGGAGTCAAATGAAATAACGATTCCAGAGCTCAGCCTAGCCAAAGGAAGGGATTTGACTTTCTGGGTATCATGACTTATATCCATATTAGTGGGGGAAAAAAAGGAAACTTCAAATTTCTCGGGCAAGAATTTGAGAGTAAAATATACAAAAAACATAGAAAATTAACTTTAATAAGATAAAAGAAATTTGGGGCAATGGCAGAATGTTCATATA